TTTATCTGAAGTCTGAACTGGTTTCAGAAAGAACTACTTTGCACTCTGAGAGTGCTGGCGCCAGCCTACAGGATGTCAACAACAACCACACCAAATCAGAATCAGTTGTTCGGCCAGCAGCTTTCATAGAGTAAGATGAAATGTGGATTGAGAGATCTGGCAGCTGTGTTTGGATGATCTTGTGTGAGAATTGACGATTTTGTCAAAAGTACATCTATTGAGTAAATTAAAAGTGTCCAAGTTTTTCCAATATTTAGTGTTGTCCTTTTTGTACAGGATGATATATACTATTTACTTTTCACTGATCATGAGAGAGAGAGAGAGAGAGAGAGAGAGAGAGAGAGAGAGAGAGACAGAGAGAGAGAGAGAGAGAGGAGAGAGAGAGAGAGAGAGAGAGAGAGAGAGAAAGAGAGAGAGAGAGAGAGAAAAATAAAAATAAATAAATAAATACAAATAAAAAAGGTTCCTGGGAAACATTTGCTTTTCGCGTAACCCCAAAATCCACGAGTGCGCCTGCCGCCGGACAAAGGCGGATTTTGGCCCGGGAGCAGCCGGCGAGGAAACGGCCGGCAAGGGACCACCCGACCCGGCTTGGGTCCAATCACTCAGACGAGCGCCCGTCGACAGCTAGGAACCTCGCCAAGTCGGCTTGTGTCAACCTGAAAGGGAATGAGTTAAATTTGACGGCACGTCGGCATTATAAGGCGAAAAGATGACTGTTTAGCTTAAATTCTTCAAAATAATATTTTATACTGGTAAGACACCAGAAGAATGGTTGGTTAAATTGGGTGTAATGAAGCCAATTTATAGGAAAGGTAAGCCATCGTTACCAAACAACTACAAACCACTTCCATTAACACTTGCAAGATGCTTGGATATTATTTTTTACTTTTCTTGTTGACAATATATTCACTACTTTCATTGAAGTAAATGGATATTATTTTATCTGAAGTCTGAACTGGTTTCAGAAAGAACTACTTTGCAACTCTGAGAGTGCTGGCGCAGCCTACAGGATGTCAACAACAACCACACCAAATCAGAATCAGTCGTTCGGCCAGCAGCTTTCCATAGAGTAAGATGAAATGTGGATTGAGAGATCTGGCAGCTGTGTTTGGATGATCTTGTGTGAGAATTGACGATTTTGTCAAAAGTACATCTATTGAGTAAATTAAAAGTGTCCAAGTTTTTCCAATATTTAGTGTTGTCTTTTTGAACAGGATGATATATACTATTTACTTTTCACTGATCATATGAGGGAGAGAGAGAGAGAGAGAGAGAGAGAGAGAGAGAGAGAGAGAGAGAGAGAGAGAGAGAGAGAGACAGAGAGAGAGAGAGAAAAAAATAAAATAAAATAAATAAATACAAATAAAAAAGGTCCCTGGGAAACATTTGCTTTCGCGTAACCCCCAAAATCCACGAGTGCGCCTGCGCCGGACAAAGGCGGATTTTGGCCCGGGAGCAGCCGGCCGAGGGAAACGCCCGGCAAGGGACCACTCGACCCGGCTTGGGTCCAATCACTCAGACGAGCGCCCGTCCGACAGCTAGGAACCTCGCCAAGTCGGCTTGTGTCAACCTGAAAGGGAATGAGTTAAAATTTGACGGCACGTCGGCATTATAAGGCGAAAAGATGACTGTTTAGCTTAAATTCTTCAAAATAATATTTTATACTGGTAAGACACCAGAAGAATGGTTGCTTAAATGGGTTGTAATGAAGCCAATTTATAGGAAAGGTAAGCCTTTGTTACCAAACAACTACAAAACCACTTCCATTAACACTTGCAAGATGCTTGGATATTATTTTTTACTTTTCTTGTTGACAATATATTCACTACTTTCATTGAAGTAAATGGATATTATTTTATCTGAAGTCTGAACTGGTTTCAGAAAGAACTACTTTGCAACTCTGAGAGTGCTGGCGCCAGCCTACAGGATGTCAACAACAACCACACCAAATCAGAATCAGTCGTTCGGCCAGCAGCTTTCATAGAGTAAGATGAAATGTGGATTGAGAGATCTGGCAGCTGTGTTTGGATGATCTTGTGTGAGAATTGACGATTTTGTCAAAAGTACATCCATTGAATAAATTAAAAGTGTCCAAGTTTTTCCAATATTTAGTGTTGTCTTTTTGAACAGGATGATATATACTATTTACTTTTCACTGATCATATGAGATAGAGAGAGAGAGAGAGAGAGAGAGAGAGAGAGAGAGAGAGAGAGAGAGAGAGAGAGAGACAGAGAGAGAGAGACAGAGAGAGAGAGAGAAAAAAATAAAATAAAAATAAATAAATACAAATAAAAAAGGTCCCTGGGAAACATTTGCTTTTCGCGTAACCCCAAAATCCACGAGTGCGCCTGCGCCGGACAAAGGCGGATTTTGGCCCGGGAGCAGCCGGCGAGGGAAACGCCGGCAAGGGACCACTCGACCCGGCTTGGGTCCAATCACTCAGACGAGCGCCCGTCCGACAGCTAGGAACCTCGCCAAGTCGGCTTGTGTCAACCTGAAAGGGAATGAGTTAAAATTTGACGGCACGTCGGCATTATAAGGCGAAAAGATGACTGTTTAGCTTAAATTCTTCAAAATAATATTTTATACTGGTAAGACACCAGAAGAATGGTTGCTTAAATGGGTTGTAATGAAGCCAATTTATAGGAAAGGTAAGCCTTTGTTACCAAACAACTACAAACCACTTCCATTAACACTTGCAAGATGCTTGGATATTATTTTTTACTTTTCTTGTTGACAATATATTCACTACTTTCATTGAAGTAAATGGATATTATTTTATCTGAAGTCTGAACTGGTTTCAGAAAGAACTACTTTGCAACTCTGAGAGTGCTGGCGCCAGCCTACAGGATGTCAACAACAACCACACCAAATCAGAATCAGTCGTTCGGCCAGCAGCTTTCATAGAGTAAGATGAAATGTGGATTGAGAGATCTGGCAGCTGTGTTTGGATGATCTTGTGTGAGAATTGACGATTTTGTCAAAAGTACATCCATTGAATAAATTAAAAGTGTCCAAGTTTTTCCAATATTTAGTGTTGTCTTTTTGAACAGGATGATATATACTATTTACTTTTCACTGATCATATGAGAGAGAGAGAGAGAGAGAGAGAGAGAGAGAGAGAGAGAGAGAGAGAGAGAGAGAGAGAGAGAGAGAGAGAGAGAGAGAGAGAGAGAGAGAAAAAAATAAATAAATAAAAATAAAAAAGGTCCCTGGGAAACATTTGCTTTTCGCGTAACCCCAAAATGCACGAGTGCGCCTGCGCCGGACAAAGGCGGATTTTGGCCCGGGAGCAGCCGGCGAGGGAAACGCCGGCAAGGGACCACCCGACCCGGCTTGGGTCCAATCACTCAGACGAGCGCCCGTCCGACAGCTAGGAACCTCGCCAAGTCGGCTTGTGTCAACCTGAAAGGGAATGAGTTAAAATTTGACGGCACGTCGGCATTATAAGGCGAAAAGATGACTGTTTAGCTTAAATTCTTCAAAATAATATTTTATACTGGTAAGACACCAGAAGAATGGTTGGTTAAATGGGGTGTAATGAAGCCAATTTATAGGAAAGGTAAGCCTTTGTTACCAAACAACTACAAACCACTTCTGCGCTTCTTCTAAGCTGCGCATTTGAAAATATGTATGAGTAAAGCAATAGACACTCCTCAATGTGTGTAACGGTTTGTCCCCATGTCACAGCTGTGGATGTTATGTAAGGTATCTCATTGTGAGTATTTTGTGCTGCGTCAATGAAGCATCTTAAGTAGTAAAATCAGTCAAGGTTGTGAGTAAAAACAACAACGTCGATGTGACAAATGTCACGTCATACATAGACAACCTTAACACCATGAAAAATAGAAATGATCCGAGACACTAAATGAAATGATACCACTAGTTTTCCCTGTTCAGGTAACGATTGATTGGTCACTTAGGTTTGAGACGTGACAAGAACAGCCATGTGGCATGTGGGGAGGCAACTGTAGCAGAAATAGTGGTGGATGTTGATTTTGTCAGAAGCGAATCAGAAGATGATGTCAGGTTACAATCAGGTTTGGGATGTCCTCCATCAACGAAATGGTGGTACATTCCACCAGGGATTCTTTTCCAGAGCGACATAAGGCACATTTAAAAATGTTTTTTCCTCAATCTTGTTGTGCAAAACAAAATTCATTTCTGACGTTGCACAGGTTTTACAAAAAAATATAGTTGCTATATACTTGCATCAGAACCTCGAAGTTCTGCTCTTCCCCCACAGCTGCCTGCGATGACTACAGATTGGCAAATAGCCGGGAGGGCGTGGACGTCATCGACACAGACCCAGCGGAGATGTGCAACAGCAGCTACTTAACAAAGTCTGACAACTCCTCTTCCTGTTTTAGAGGAGCATCCTGGAAAACAGTGAAATTAAAGTGTCTTCCGTGTTATAGTCTTGCTGCCCGTCCGTCAATGGTAAGATATGATAAAGTTGACATTCTTACAAATCCCTCGATGAAGGGTTTGACTATTACTGGTTGATCATATTTCATTTTTAGCATAGTAGGGTTACTTCACATTCTTGACATAGTCGCTATTGCAACTGTTCAGGATAAAAAATAACAAGGGTAGCATTACCATTGTTAATACGATAAAAGCTTATTATGGATTATTTTATGTTTGGAAAATATGAAATACTCACCATAATTGTCACCGTTGTCGTCGTCGTTGTTCTTCTTCATCCTCATCATATCAAATACTCAATATCAATTGACAAAGTACAGTTTGATCTCACAAATTAGTTAGTGTATGTGATAATGTCACTGTTACGGCAATAACCATTATCTTATGAATTCAGGATCCAGCGGCATCCTACACGGGGGATCTGGACTTTGATCTCGACGTTGGAATGACTCTGAAGCTCAATGTATCAGGAAGTGAAACAATATTGTACGTGAGTGCATGAGTGAAATATTTATCTTACCCTACGAGTTTTTGCACGTGTCCAATTGACAGCATTTCTGCGATCTCACGCTGTTGGCACTTTGTAATGCCACTCCCCAGAATAACTGAATGAGCTTACACTGCACCACACTCCATCACCGCTCCCCAGAATAACTGAATACCCTTAAACTGCACCACACTCCATCACCACTCCCCAGAATAACTGAATACCCTTTAACTGCACCACCCTCCATCACCATTCCCCAGAATAACTGAATACCCTTAGACTGCACCACCCTCCATCACCGCTCCCCAGAATAACTGAATAACCTTACACTGCACCACCCTCCATCACCACTCCCCAGAATAACTGAATAACCTTACACTGCACCACCCTCCACCACCACTCCCCAGAATAACTGAATACCCTTAAACTGCACCACCCTCCATCACCACTCCCCAGAATAACTGAATACCCTTAAACTGCACCACCCTCCACCACCGCTCCCCAGAATAACTGAATAACCTTAGACTGCACCACCCTCCACCGCTAACCCCTAGAATAACTGAATAGCCTGACACTCCGCAGCCATTCCCCAGTTTACAAGTAAATATCTTCACACTGCAATCATGTCCGCCTCCACTCCCAAGCTTAAAAGGGAATATCCTTACACAGCACCCATGTCCGCAACAACTCCCCAGCTTACATGTGAATATCCTTACACTGCACCCATGTCCGCCTCTATTCCATAAAATAATTGTATATCCTAACAGTGCACGCATGTCCGCCTCCACTCCCCAGCTTACAAGTGATTAGCCCTACACTGCACCCATGTGCGCCTCCACTCCCCAGCTTACAAGTGATTAGCCTTACACAGCACCCATGTCCGCCTCCACTCCCCAGCTTACAAGTGATTAGCCTTACACAGCACCCATGTCCGCCTCCACTCCCCAGCTTACATGTGAATATTCTTACACTGACCTCATGTCCGCCCCTACTCCCCTGCTTACTAAAGAATAGCCTTACAGTGCACCCATGTCCGCCGCCACTCCCCAGCTTTCAAGTTAATAGCCTAACACTGAAACCATGTACGTCTCTATTCCATAGAATAACTGAATATCCTTACAGTGCACCCATGTCCGCCCCAAACCCCCGGCTTACAAGTGAATAGCCTTACACTGAAACCATGTACGTCTCTATTCCATAGAATAACTGAATATCCTTACACAGCACCCATGTCCGCCCCAAACCCCCGGCTTACAAGTGAATAGCCTAACACTGAAACCATGTACGTCTCTATTCCATAGAATAACTGAATATGGTAGCCATGCGCCCAGGTCCGCCTTCATTTCAAAGACTAGCTAAATATCCTGACACTGAACCCATTTCCACCACCACTAACGAGCTTACAAGTGAATATCCTTACACTGCAGCAACCATGTGTGGCTGATACTTCCCAATCAAGACGTTGTCTATCTGTTGTCGTTGAGGTGGGACTATCCCAACATTGGACTCTATACAATTATCTTCAACACTCGTCAAGGAAACGCATGGGGTGCTGAGTTTCGGACCGACTTTACCCCAAACAGTTCGGACAACTATGTGATTGGGATATCCATAACAGAGACATCTTTCCTGGTAGGTTTGTCATGTGTCAATGGGTAGAAGGAAGTTTGAGTCTGTTAAATATTAACAAATATCCTTACACGTCTTAGCTGCTGATATGGGTGTAAGAATCTTTATCAAGATGTCGCTATATGCAATAAACCAGAAGTTGTTGTCCATAAAGTTGTACGCTTTCTTACTTACTCACTAACTCCGAGAATGCCGGTCCAACAGTCAGTGTTCACTGTTGATCTCCACGTCTTTCTTGGTCGGTTGTTTAGTCGTGTGTTAGGTATTGAGATATACCTTATTTAGGAATTGGTATAGCTTACCAGATTAGGACATCAACGAACCATGGTTTCAATGTATGGTTCCCTACATAATCTAATACTTTATTTTCCAGACGTACGTCGATGGAACGTTGTGGATGACTAACCCAATCCGCATTCCTCTCAGCGGTGTCCGACGTATCGACTTTGATGGATTCACTGCAGTCAATGAATTCAACATCGGGAAGGGAATGTGTTGAATTTTAAAGCAACTAGCTGTTGATTTCCTTATCAAATTTGAGATGTGTTCTGGAGGCAATTGTTTCATTGTCACCAATATATCCCTAATACCTTCAGCCAAATGTGTCATCACATCGATGCATATATTATTACACCATGGCCGACTGTGATATTTAGCTAACTGACTTTTAATGGCGGAGCCCGAAACAGTCAGTTGTCAGGGCAGTTTTCAAACCAATGGTTCTACCAACATATCAGAACACCATTTGTCCTCATGGGTTGATATTTTGGCAGCAGTGGTTTGCATCACAATTACATTATGAAATATACATTGGCCCTATATAGCCACACCGATAAGTTCTGGATGTGGTATCAATAAATCATTGAAAAATAACAAAAATCTCTTACTTTCGGTCATCATCAGTCGACCAGAATGATTCTCCTGGACGATAATTTTGAGTGAATTCTACAATGTCGACTACGTGAGATATATCCTTTTGTGTCGTCAAAAAATAAACAATGAATCAAATGATGTTATCAATAACGTTTTAACGGGTACAATACTTCTTGTTTTGAGATAAAAGTAAGTATGTGTTTACGCTCCCGAGATTGTCCAGCTACATTTAAGTTAGTTTATAACACAATGCTAATTGAATTATGAAAAGATCGGTTTTCTTTGTCTGACTTTGTGGATGACTCGACAACTCGGCAACGTGAGTGTACAGATTGTCGTTGTTCCTGACCATACTTACAACAAGATATATGCCAGTTTAAATGCCGGTTGTATGTCATGACTGCAATACCCTGTCCTCTATATATTTATTGCAAATAAACTTAAACAACAAATGTAGCATATTTGTCATTTTAATTGTGGCTTCAATATTGTACAATATCGCCAGCGACTGAAAGGATGATGTAAAACCTGCTGGGGTCCATGCAGGAAGCTAGGTACTGTTAGTCCAAATGGTGACTAGTATAGTGCTCTACCTTCAATTGCTGGCGATCTATAGCCCGTTTTTACAATGTATTGTTCTATATAGTATTATTTCATTATGGACACATATTAGTTGTAAAAATATATATCTGTGATACGTCCCGTAATGTTACTGTCCTTTGCTGACAGGTTTTTATATAGTCTAAATTGATGTTTTCATAACGCATAAATTTCTTTAGTCACGATATGGCTGAAACACTGCCGATGTGACTATTAATCTTAACTCACGCACTCACTTAAACAACAGTGGGAATGTATGTAATTTGAACTCTTCATGACTACCGTATGTGGCTGAAGGATCAATATGAATTTATACTTTAATACCAAATGTATACTACAACATGTATGTTTTTTTCATGTGGATCTGATTTGTGTTTTCTTTCCTACTCCTTGGGATCCGGCTTTAGAGTTAGGCCATAAACTTGCCATGAGACAAAAGTTGTGTTTGGTGGTTAGGCATGTCTGATTGAATGTCAGCGTACCCACGCGGTGCCATTGCTCAAATGACTGATTACATGTTTGTCGTTTGCTCACCCTTGATTATTTAAGAGACGCACATAATACAATCCATGACTAAAATTATAATAAGAGTGGGTGTTAATACTTGCCTCCTTAACAATGCACAGAGCAATACCATCATGCAAAGCACTATTCCGTACTATTTCAAGGCATCTACATTGGTCAACATAATGCCCAGTTCCTCTCTACATTCCCTTCACGGAATAAGAAAAGATAGCACTTCCCTGAACCGACCTACACAAGGAATCACTTCTCTTCATTGAGATACCTAAGGTAGCACTTGGCCCCAAGGAGCTACACAAGGAGACACTTCTGTAAGTGGACCTACCCAAGGTAGCTCTTCTCTGCAAGGACCTACACAACGTGACACTTTCCTTTAGGAACCTACACAATAGGGCAGGTTAGTGTGGAAAAGTGCCTCATAACCCAATGGTTTGAAATTTGGTTGAAATATTGATCATGCCTGTTGTGTGCAAGCACATATATTCTAGCAAAAATTAGCAGTGAAAGACGTTCACGAAACATGTTTCTTTTGCAGCACATCAGTGGGCAGTTTTAATGTCTCGGCCCAAACATTTATTTTGTTGATGACTCAGTATTACTGACAAATGATACTGAGCTTAAGATGCCGATCAGGATCTTCAGTACATCAGCACAGACACCGACCCACCCCAAGCAAATATAAAATATTAACGCCAGACAGGGACCAGTATCGATTATCGCTGAAACTGAACAGATACATCAAAATCTAAAATAGAGGTAAAAACTATTTGAATATATAACTAAAATCAGTGATTTAATCATATGTGATTAATCGATAAATGATTCACGGAATGTAGGATTTTATGTACGTGTTGACATTTGATTGGTATGATGATCCTAAATCTATGCTACATTGCCCACCATACATGTTTCCATCAACACCAAGCCAATACGTTCCGGCTAATGTCTTTGTTGTGTTATGAAGCACTCAAGTCACCCTTGTTGTGAATGCATGAATTCTTATTGCAATTCCTTCTCAGCACTTCTCATCAGGATTAACAATGGTCGCCTTCGGTGTATTTTGTATCCAAGACAAGTAGCAGTGTTTGAAGGCATGTGGGTGTGTACATTCGCTAGCGTACAATAATTGTCATGTTGTCAATTCCCTTTGCACTAATTTACCTAGAAACCAAAGACAACAGTGACATCACCTCATTTGTTTTATTCTTTATATGAATCCATAAAGAATAAGAGTGTCAAAAACATATTAACAAGTGTATATGACAAGAAGGATGACTTTAACTTTCTAACAGTCAACTTTGCCTTTATGTTCAGCAATATTCCAGCAGGGTTTGTGATATAATCGAACATGATTTTTCTTCAGAAAATGTCTTTCATCTGTTTACTCAAAGGGTGCTCAATCAGAGTTGCATAGCACAAAGTATTTGTTTCAAAATGTTTTGGAAGACCAGTGGCTGACATTTCAAAAAAAGATTTCGAATCACTTTGCCTCGTATGTTTCCGTAATGTTGGACTTGCCGTTGCATGTTTTGGTGACGAGTGAGGAGTGACGTGTACCTGTTAGCCAACACTTGGCATCTTATGATTCCGTAATGTTGGACTTGCCGTTGCATGTTTTGGTGACGGGTGAGGAGTGACGTGTACCTGTTAGCCAACACTTGGCATCTTATGTTTCCGTAATGTTGGACTTGCCGTTGCATGTTTTGATGACGGGTGAGGAGTGACGTGTACCTGCTAGCCAACACTTGGCATCTTATGTTTCCGTAATGTTGGACTTGCCGTTGCATGTTTTGGTGACGTGTGAGGAGCGACGTGTACCTGTTAGCCAACACTTGGCATCATCACTATTTGATCCATAAACTCATGCTTGGGATAATTCATTCTGATCAGAGAAGCAATGCCATAGAAAATACAAGTATAAGATGTTTCCTCAATGGGGAGAATGTTTAAGAGTCACCCTTTCCGATTGCTACCCCATTACAATGTAATCTGATCAAAATTCACTTGCATTCATTTATGCCGTTCAAAAACGAAAGATCCGTTCACAGGAATATACATGTAAGGACGGCAACATTGACCTTTGAAATGACTATACATGTGTCTCTCTGTCTATCTCTCCCTGTCTCTCTCTCTCTCGCCTAAGAAATCTCCCTTCCTAACTAACACAACCTACCAGATACATCTGACCCTTGGTGACACCAGCTTACCACACCCTTACTAAATCCTCATATTATTTCACCCCTGACCAACTTGTCGCAGATGCTGCTATGTCCTCTGTGTTAGTGTACAACATAGACAGTGGCACCAATGTGACATTCAACAGAAGGTCTGAGATGGATGGTCTGGTGTTTGCCGGGAGTCTAAAGAAGAGACCAACCAGGTGGACATGAGAGTGAGTGAGAGAGTGAGTGAGTTGGGTTTAACGCCGTTTTGTACAGTATTCCAGTTATATCAAGGGGTATCAGCTTATTGTCGGAGGAAAGTCAAAAGTGATGGAGGTCTCAAACGTTAACCACCTCGGTGAAACGCGCGAACACGGGTATGGTGCTGACAAACCTACAGACATAATCGGGGCGAACCGGGATTCGAACCCACAATCATAGGTTTCTGGTGTGCCCAAGGGTCCCAACCCTGAAAAGCCAATAGCGGCGCCTCAGACGACTCTGCCACCCGTGCCCCCACTGGACATGAGGGGTAGGTTTTTTCTCTCTGTGTCATTGTCGAGGGCAGCGTAGCTTGGTCTTGCACAAGGACGTGCAGACTTACTTCGTGTCCGGGAGTGGATGCCATGGAGGTGAGGATTTTACTTTACAAACGTTTTCGTGTAGGTTAAATCACTACAAGCTCATGTTTCCCCAAACGTAAAGTGCCGATATGTTTTTGAAAATGAGTAAGTGGTTGAGTGTGTGTGAGTGTGACACTTACATCAAAGCATATGTTAGAGTAGTATGACGCTCTTTGAATTTGTCCTTGTAGGAAGAGCATGGTCGAGTGAACCTCCAAAGTTTAGGCGCCAAAGGCTGAAACAACACGCTCAATGTTCCAATGTCGTATAAGGGGTACAGGGCAGCCACCGCGTGTCCAGGTGCTGACATTAAGAATGTCGTTAAAGACATTTGTCACTGCTAACCAAATGTCTTCCTGTCTGCGATATTCATCTTGGAAAATATTACTGATCATATATGTCATACTGAGTAGATCTTCATTTTTTCGTTAAGTACCCATGACTATACTAATTATGACAAGTCACAATACACCTTGTTTCCGTTCATATCCCACGCTCCAATGTCAACACCAGTTATGACGACCAGGCATATTCCCACATCGAGGACCCAGACCACATACTTACTGTTAAGTGTATATATTGTTATAATACTGATGAATGTGAGTCGCATTTTGTCATCTAATATACACGACAAACATACAGAGAGAATGGCAAACCTCACACAATACAATAGTCGAGGACAACATTCATATACGCCAACAGTATTCACTGTCTGAAGC